ATGGAAAAGGGAAGGGGATTGACACCACGTGGAGGGTGGAGGGGGTCCTGTGCAGGTAGGGGATGGGGGCATCAGGAGCCAGCCCCCAGCACTCTGGAGGCCCAGGTCTCTGTTGTCAGCAGGTGTGTGGAGTTAGGGGATAGTGGTGGAGGTTGGGGGAGCTTAAGAGGAAGAAAGGATTTCTCGGACAGAGAAGGTTGCAGTCCTTCACAAGATCACGTCATGAATAACATGGGCCTTTGTTAGCAACAGAACAAATTAGAATTCTGGTTCTATTTGTGATACTTCTGAGAAAACGAGGAGAAGAGGATCAGAAAACCTACACGGTATGTGAGGGAGGAGATTAAGTCCCAGGAGATGGCACAGTCGAAGTATGATGGGGTATGAACTCCTTATGGGCATTTTGGTCTTTCAGAAAAAACAATTGTTTTTCTAAACCTGAAAAAAAAACACTTTATAAAGATGTTTAAAGTATGGAGGAAATAATGTATATACCAGCACTTTTGTCCTCTGAAGTTTCATACATATTAGAGCAATTCTGTTCACCTCCTTGTGCTCTGTGGTGTTCAAGGCACTTTACTCTCCCCGTTGTATTCCTCTCTTTCTTCCAATTATCTTTCAGGTAGCTGCTGCCATTGCTATTATTATTGTTGTTATTGTTATTGCTATTACTATTTTACAGATGGAGACACTGAGGGCCAGGGAGGTTGGGCAATTTGCCCAGGGTCACGTGGGTAGAAAGTGGTGGAGCCCACAGTTTTTCCTCCCCACTTATCAGACTATTAGGGACAATCCTGTTAATATGGTTTATTGTTGGTATTGGGTTAATTTGAGTAGAAATGGTGGTCAAGCCATGCAGTGGATTTGTGGAAGGGACCAGAGGTGAAAGCAGTGGCCTTTCTCAGAACAAATTAGAATTCTGGTTCTATTTGTGATGCTTCTGAGAAAACGAGGAGAAGAGGGTCAGAAAACCTACACGGTATGTGAGGGAGGAGATTAAGTCCCAGGAGATGGCACAATCGAAGTATGATGGGGTATGAACTCCTTGTGGGCATTTTGGTCTTGCAGAAAAAAACAATTGTCTTTCTAAACCTGAAAAAAAAACCTTTAAAAAAAAGATGTTTAAAGTGTGGAGGAAATAATGTATACACCAGCACTTTTGTCCTCTGAAGTTTCATACGTATTAGAGCAATTCTACTCACCTCCTTGTGCTCTGTGGTGTTCAAGGCACTTTACTCTCCCCGTTGTATTCCTCTCTTTCTTCCAATTATCTTTCAGGTAGCTGCTGCCATTGCTATTATTATTGTTGTTATTGTTATTGCTATTACTATTTTACAGATGGAGACACTGAGGGCCAGGGAGGTTGGGCAATTTGCCCAGGGTCACGTGGGTAGAAAGTGGTGGAGCCCACAGTTTTTCCTCCCCACTTATCAGACTATTAGGGACAATCCTGTTAATATGGTTTATTGTTGGTATTGGGTTAATTTGAGTAGAAATGGTGGTCAAGCCATGCAGTGGATTTGTGGAAGGGACCAGAGGTGAAAGCAGTGGCCTTTCTGTCACCTATAAAGCCACTTGTGACTCTGTGACTCTGTGACTCAATCCTCCAGTAATGCGGAGGGGGGAAAACCAAGCTGCCCCTCCCCCACCCTTGTTGTGGTTCCAGTTAGGGGTGTTGACACTGCACCCTTGCTGACTCCCCAGGCTTCTCCAGCAGCTCTAGTGAGAGCCATCTAAGTGGGTGGACTTTGTCTTCTTCCCAGGGAGGCATTGCATAGTTTAGGAGGGTCATATTCTGCAGGTAGGGAAACAATCTGTCTTTAGATTACCATCAAGGTTTGTATTCACAGGAGGATTTGCAAAATTAAGTGACCTTTACTTTGGGAATGCAAAACTACTTATTTGTATACTCTCCACAACTACCCTATGACGTAGTGTTATTTCCCCCTTGCTAGATGAGTCATCTGAGGCCCAAAGAGGTTTAGTAACTTGCTCAAGAACACATGATAAAAGGTTTCGCAGGAGATTTAAGCCAGATAGTCTTGCTCTGGGGCCCATGCTCTTAGATACATATAAGAGGATAGTAGAATCAGGGATGAATAAAAGGATGGATAAATGGACTGATGACTGGATGAATGAGTGCTCTCCCGCCACCATTTATTCCAGAATTCACTTCTCTACTCACCCTTTTACCCATCACCCATTCATCCAGTCATCATCAGTCCATTTATCCATCCTTTTATTCATCCCTGATTCTACTGTCCTCCCATCTGTTTATTCTTCCACCAACCATCCATTTTTCCATCGACCCATCCACCCATCCACCTACCCATCCACCTACCCATCCACCTATTCATTATGTTGGCTCTTTGTCTAGCGTGGTTTTCTGCTTCATCTGGGGAAGAAGTTTCTCCATCTGGGGGCCAAGCGTATGCTTTCTGAGGCTGGAGACCCTCTTGTCAACACCAATTCCTTAGCTCCCAAGTCATACCTGGGCTTGCTCCTGACTCTTGTAGGTTGGTGTTTTCGGGAATGCTGCTTTTTGCTTGTTCACTTTCCTCCCTCTGTCAACCTGTGCAAAGCTGCACGCTCTTCCAGAAACACTCTTGACTTCTTGGACATGATAATAAATGAATATTTAGCGAGTCCCATTCCCTGGCCCAAAGATTGGAAGTTATATTAGTTTTGCATGATTTTACCTTTTAAAACGGTTAGAGTTTGTGTTATACCGCTAAAAGTTATTTACTAAACTTAAAACGATGTTCACAGGGCATTTTATAAGGAAAGAAGTTTTAATAGAAGTAAGCCTATTTGATTGGAGATTAATCAATTAAGGAGACAATTAAAATTGTCTATGAAGAAGCAGTATTATGAAGAAGCAGTATGTCTTAGCTATTTGCTTATTTATTAAGTGCAAAGCAATGGAAGTCATTTAATTATTTTGCATAGCCTCTGTTGTGGTAGAAAATCTCAATGTTCAAAATTTTCTTACTTTTTATTATGGAAAAAATTAAACATAAAAATTTAAACATGTTAACAGTCATATAATGAACCTCCACATACTCATTACCCATCTTCAACAATTACCAACTACAGCAGCGGTTCTCAACCTGTGGGTCGCGACCCCTTTGCGGTCGAATGACCCTTTCACAGGGGTCGCCTAAGACCATCCTGCATATCAGATATTTACATTACGATTCATAACAGTAGCAACATTACAGTTATGAAGTAGCAATGAAAATAATTTTATGGTTGGGTCACAACATGAGGAACTGTACTTAAAGGGCCAGAAGGTTGAGAACCACTGAACTACAGTATATACCCACTTTTTCCCTCTCATATTATTTTTTCTTCTTATAAGTTTCTAGATTATTACTTAATGTCAAGTTTCTATTCTAGAAAAGTATATTATGTTGACATTGAAATATAATAAATGTTTGAATGTATTTTTTTAATTTTTCCTTGAAATTTTGCTTGTTTGGGGTAGAGCATTAAAATTTTCTGCCACAGAGCAGCCTTGAACAGACTGTCAAACTACAGCGGGAAGGCCAGGGAGGGTTGGGGGGCAGGAGGGGAGGGTAAGAGATCAACCGAAGGACTTGTATGCATGCATATAAGCATAACCAATGGACATAAGACACTGGGGGGTAGGGGAGGCCAGGGGAGTATCAAGGGTGGGAAAAAAGGGAGACACATGTAATGTAATACTCTTTGTAATACTTTAAGCAATAAAACAATTAAAAAATAAATAAAATAATAAAATAAAATTTTCTGTCACTTTTTTAATTAAAAAATTCAAATCTACAGGAAAGTTGAAAGGTTAATAAATGACCCTCACATACCCTTCACCTAAATACACTGGTTATTAGCATTAGGACTGGCATTTTCCTAAGTATGTTTTTCCATGGGATTACTTGAGGAGATTGTCTTACATTTGAAGGTACGAAGACAGTAGCACATGGCTTTACAGCCAGATGGATTTAGGTTCAGATCTCACCCCTCTTAGCCCTGCACTGTAGGGGAATTGCCCCGTCCTCAATCCCTTCATCTATCAAATGGGAGTAATAATAGTATACATACACCCATGGGGTTATACAAGGCACATAATAGGGTCTTTGCAAATATTACCTATCACCTTGCCTCAGTTACACCCCCTGTGTTGCAGCTTGTGGCTCTGAATGGGGGGAATTGGGCTTTGACAAATCAATTCATTTTTATCAATATGGAAGATTTTTGTTATTGAGAGTTGATATGGCGTAATGATTAAGAAAATAAATCTTGGGGGAGTGTGGTTCCAATCCCAGCCCTGCCTTTACCAGCTTGGAATTTGGTGAGTGATTTAATGTCTCTGAGCCCAAGTTTCCTCACTGTAAAATGGACTTAGAAAGAATACCTACCGCATTGGGTTGTTGTCAGGACAAAAGGAAATGGGGACATCCATGCCCAGCATTTAGTGTAATGTCTGCCTCATATGTGCCCAGTGAATGTTACTAATCATTAGTATTATTATAAGGATACATCAGCATAGTGCCTACCATATAAATGCTCAATAAATATTACGTATTTATTATATTGTTATTATTATTCTTAGTAGTAGTAGTAGCAGCAGTAGTAGTAGGGGTGAAAAACCAACAGCAAATTGGCCTTTAAAAGTCTGATTCTACCCTGGTGCAATGAAAAGAATAAAGATCTTTAATGAAAACTTGCAATGTGATTTCAAGCAAGAGTAAGCCTTAGATGGATGGACAGACAGATGCCACCAGCTAGGCATAGCGTCAGTAAATCATGGGAAATGACCATGTACCTTGGGTTCCATTCAGTGATGTCCTAAAATAAACCAGCCACCTTGAACGCTCCTGAAAGTGTCACGGGCGTTGGACAGCTTGCCCCCTGCCCCCTGGCCAGGACATAGCCTCTGTCCTGAGGGCTTTGTGCTGTTCTTGTTGTCTGGGACTGATTTTTTCCTTTCTCTCTTTCCTGGCTCTCATTTTGTATCCCAGGTCGAAAGGATTGTAGACAAGAGAAAGAACAAGAAAGGAAAATGGGAGTATCTCATCCGATGGAAAGGCTACGGGAGCACAGAGGACACGTGGGAGCCAGAGCACCATCTGCTGCACTGTGAGGAGTTTATCGATGAATTCAATGGGCTGCACCTGTCCAAGGACAAGAGGATCAAGTCAGGGAAGCAGGCCAGCGCCTCTAAGCTCCTGCGTGACAGCCGAGGCCCATCGGTGGAGAAACTCTCCAATAGACCTTCAGAATCTGGGAAGAGCAAGGGGACTTCTCATAAACGGAAGCGAATCAACCCTTCCCTGTCCAAGCCGAAGAAAGGGTATCCAGCCAAGCCCACTGCGGCAGGTGACAGGGCCGCCAAGACGGTGTCTTACAGGACTACCCCCAGTGGTTTGCAAATAATGCCCCTGAAAAAGGCTCAGAATGGAATGGAGAACGGGGACACTGGATCCGAGAAGGACGAGAGGCACTTTGGAAACGGGTCCCACCAGCCTGGCTTGGATTTGAATGACATTGGAGAGCAAGACCTGGGCGAGTGTGACATCAACCATGCGGCACTGGCAGAGAACGGGCTCGGTATGTGGCTTGTCTTTCTCCTGCGTTTGGCTCCAGTCAGGGCGGGTGGGGGCTTTGCATGCACACATAAGACCCCCACCTGTTCCTGACTCTTAGCGAGGCAGTAATTCTCCCTTCGTCTCTCTCACCGAGGGCCATGTGGACTTGGCTATGTGTCCACATTGGTTACAGACACCCATGCATGTAGGGGAGGGCAGGCCAGTGGTACTCCAGCCAAGGCCTGGAATGGGTCCAGAATTCCTTATTGCACTTGAAGACACCCGAGGCCATGGTAACCACAGGTTCTCCTGTGAAGGCAGCTCAAAGTTCTCACCCACCAGGATCCGAGACTCATGTCCCCAGAGGGACAGTGCCTTTTGGGGGCAGCACACACCTCTCAGAGCCCTTGCTTTCAGTCTCCTGGGGTGCCTGGCAGGGTAGCCCACAGAGGTGAAGTGTGGGTTGGGGTCTGGTCCTCCTCAGACCCAGTTTGAACTTAAGTTCTACTAACTCATTTGTAAGTGGGAGCCTCTTGCCCCTCCTCTATAGCTAACATGCATGACCTTTCCCCATTTCTGAGTTACGTCCTACATATGCTGCCCTGTCCCCATCCTGTGCACATTCTTTTGGTTGGCCCCTAACTGCTTACTCCATCCTGGAAATAACAGCAAAGATGTTAAAATTCCTCTCTCTTACCAAGTCCCCAAAGGCAAACTTAAAGACAGAGGAGGCAATAACCCAGGTAATTCAAACTTCCAAGCCTGACATTTCTCCAATAGTCACATTGCTCCCATACTGAGTCCTTGTGGCCGAGGTTAGCTGTGTGTACCTCCTGCGTGCACTCCCCCAGTTCTTGGATACCTGTGTGTCTGTGTGGTGGCATTTTTTCCCTTAGCTGCCCAAATCCTGAGCCTTGGGATGTCAGGAAATCCTGCACGAGTGTGGAGTGCCTGTGCCCCACAGAGTAGGGCCATCAGTGGCCTGGGTGGAACAGGGTGTGGGTGGGAACGGGTGCGAGGACGCCAGTGGCATGGGCTGGAAGAGCTCCCGGAGAGATGGGTGATGGTGCTTTCAGAGTTCCGAGTGCTCAGCGTGCCCCGCTGGGGAGAGTATGACATCCTTAGGGACTCTTGCCGGGGAATCTGAGCAATCACTGGAAGGTTCCTCTTTCTCCAGAGAGTAGTCTCACCCAGTCAGCATTTATTTAGCAGTCTCTGCCCCAGATTGATTTCCGTTTCCGCCTGGGGATTCCTGATGCTGAGATGACTCTGTCTGCTACCATATGTAAACGCCGTTTGCTTAAAAAATTCATCTTTCCAGGAGGAGTGGGCTCGTGTAAATGAGGCCTGGCACAAATATCCGTGTTTGATGCTCCTCTGACAACTGCTGGCAGTAGAGGAATTCCCTGTCTTGGGGAGGGTGGCTGGTGAGGGGAGCTTCTGAGGCTCCTGGGATGCAGACAGAAGACCTGGGCATGATTCCTCATATCCCGGCTGGTAGAAGTGCCCTGTCCTGCTCAAAATGTGGCTGCAGAGAGATGGGAGAAGCATGAGGGAGGATGATTTGCTCACATACGCTGCCAAACTGAAGCATAAAGGAGAAAGGCAGTGGAGAAGTCTAGATCAGCGGTTCTCAACCTGTGGGTCGCGACTCCTTTGGCGGTCGAACGACCCTTTCACAGGGGTCGCCTAAGACCATCCTGCATATCAGATATTTACATTACGATTCATAACAGTAGCAACATTACAGTTATGAAGTAGCAACGAAAATAATTTTATGGTTGGGTCACAACATGAGGAACTGTATTTAAAGGGCCAGAAGGTTGAGAGCCACTGGTCTAGATGAAGGTGTGCCTCTTGTTCCCTGCAACTTTCCCAAGTGGGGCAGAGTGCTAGCCATTTGCTCTCCATCCTTTGACCTCGTCAGTGCCCCCTGGTTCATGATCTGATGGTGGGCATGCTACCCACATTGGTGGAAATAGGAAAGGACAAGCCTGCTGGGATCAGAGGTGGCCTCGTTCATGTCCAACCTGAGCTCCAGAATGCTTCTCCAGACCTTTCTCACCTCTGGTGTTTTGTTGGCCCCATTTTTTCCTGTGTTCTTTACTCCACTGGGGCCCATCCTGGGTAGAGAGGAGGAAGCTGCCTGCCTCTATTGTGTTCTGCTTTGGGTGTTCCCAAAGGGCCCTGTTGTTTTAATTACATCCCATAGCATTGGTGTCCTGGAGATTCCCCATAAGGTGAAGGCAGTGGTTCTCAGGTTGCACATGTGTAAGATTGCCCGGCACCTTGTTAAGAATGCAGGTCCCGGAGAGTCTGATTTACTATGTCTGGGGTGGAGCCCAGAAGATGGGTTTTTATTTGTATTTGTTTATTTAAATATATTTTTATTGTGTTTTTTTAGAGAGATAGAGGGAAGTGGGGAGAGAGAGAAACATAGATCAGCTGCCTCCTGCATGCTCCCCACTGGTGGTCGAGCCCACATCCCAAGCATGAGCCCTGAGTGGGAATTGAACTGGAAACCTTGTGGTGCACAGGATGACACCCAACCAATGGAGCCACAGTGGCCAGGGAGCAGATGGTTTTTTTTTTTTCACAAGTACCCTGGGTGACTCTAATGCATTGTGGCAATATGAGGGTGGCAATTAAGTTTTACATCAGATGTCAATGTAAGTCAATTCAATACTTATTTTTTTGAAAACTTCCTAAGGGTTAGTCACTATGTTAGCTGCTTGGAGTAGCATAATAAAAAGATAAATAAGGACTAATTCCTCTGAAACTTACAATATACGCTCCAATGAGTTCAAAGTGGATGTCTCTAGCTCAGTGTTGAGAACTCCTGAGGTTGGCTCATTAGGAGTAATACATATGTTATATACATGGTATGCCTTTGCCATTCCCACCTTGACATCTTCTGTTGTCACTGGGGTGATAAAAATGCCCCAACCACTGTCAGCCTTTAACACTCCGGTGAGAACTAGCTTATTGTTCAGGTCTTGAGGTAACTGGGGAGAGGAAAAGACTGGGAATCCTTTCTAGAGAGAGAGGGTGGTTTGGGGTTCTTGGACAAGACCCAAGGCAGAAGGTGTGTTATGGTTCCAGAACTTTCCAGCAACGGGTCAGAGGTATAGTCAAGTACATGTTTCCACTTATGTTTTCAACAAGAGGGAAGCCTTGATGATGCAAGTCAGTGCTCGTGTGAAACAAATGTCCTCTTCCTCCCCCTCTTTTACCCCCCACCCCCTTTCCTGACCACTTTTACCAAAGGGTCCAGTTCCCAGTGGCACAAGGGCGAGCTGATGGGGTTTTCAGCACCAAGGAGGGCTCCTCTTTGTCTAGCAGATGAGGAGGAAGGTGGCTGGGGAGATCCTGGCTACACTTCCCCAGCATTTGTTTTGGGGGTGGGCTGTTGCTTTTTATATGATTTTAACTTCTCTTTGGTGGATTAAGGTTCTGCATACAGAAAAGCAAATTATGTAACACGTTACTCATTTGCTGCTGACTTCCCTGATCTGTGCTGTGGGAACAAGTGCTAAATCGGGGCTCCGGAGGGTGGTGTTTTGGTTTCAGGCTGCATTCTCCCCAGCAGTGTTGGTGAAGCGACTCAGTACGGCTCTTGATTCCAATTTTTCTTCCATTATGGCAATCGGCCCTGTAGTCCGGGGACCATCTGCCTCAGTATCCCTTAGGGAGCTTGTTAAAAATGGGCTCCACCCCAATTGAATGAATCGAGATCTCAGGAGATAGGGTGGGGGTTCTGCATTGTAAACGCTGAATTTTAATGGCCCTGGGTATGTATGTATGTAGTTCCTGTGGGTGCGTTTGGTTGTAAGTAATGGCTTATAGATCCACTGGGGTAGATCCAAAGATAATGCTTGGATTTTCACTTTGTAAATGGGAATGTGATTTGGTCTTTCAAAGTTTAAAACCTGACATAATTCCTTCTTGCTGATGCACTTCCTACCAGGCATCTCTTTTTATTCTAAAACAGCAGTTTCATCTGTATGGAAAAACTTTCGGTTAGCTAACTCCCATGGTCTGGTCCAGGAAGACTGGTTCGTGCTGTCTGGCCTAAATAGGCGCTAGAGCAGTGATGGCGAACCTTTTGAGCTCGGCGTGTCAGCATTTTGAAAAATCCTAACTTAACTCTGGTGCCGTGTCACATATAGAAATTTTTTGATATTTGCAACCATAGTAAAACAAAGACTTATATTTTTGATATTTATTTTATATATTTAAATGCCATTTAACAAAGAAAAATCAACCAAAAAAATGAGTTCGCGTGTCACCTCTGACACGCGTGTCATAGGTTCGCCATCACTGTGCTAGAGCATCGATACTTTACGGACTCAGGTGAGCCTTTCACCTGTGGAAACATCCCTAACTAGGAACCAACCTGTCAGTCTAAACCCCAGCACAACACACAGATGCCCAGCATTCTCCGAACTCCCATGAAGCCAGTGAGTTTCCACTCCTGATGCTGAGCCTGTGGCCCTTTGTTAACATTTCAATGAATTTGAGATCATTTTCCTTGTGTCCTGAGACTGTTGTCTGTCGCCCAGGCACTGCATCCCAGACACTGCTTGATTCGTGTTTTCAGAATTGTTCCTCTCATCGACTGAGTCATCCCACACCAGCGTGCAGCATTTGCCATGTTTTCTCCATTGATCTTTAAAATTATCTCAGCTTTCACTTGTATAATGTTTATTTATCTCTTCCTACTCACACTTTCAATGTGATTATAGTTTTTTTCTTTGTTGAACATAAAGGAGTTCCCATGTTTTAACAGCACTTCAGAACTAAGCATGAGCATGGGACATGCCCTGGGATTTTCAAGAATCTAGGGCTCTGGAACATCAAACCAGTATCAGATCCTGGGGGAGGGGGTGTTAAAACACAGATTACTAAAATTGAAAAAACAAATAAGAAAACAAACAAAACCCCCCCACTCAGACGGCTGTGTCAACCCCAGAGTTTCTGATTTAGTAGGTATGGAGGGGGGCTGAGGATCTGCATTTCTAG